ACTTAATACTTATTATTAACGCTATTATTTACTATTATTTATTATTACTATTTAGTATTTACTACTATCTACTAAAAATGTTAAATTGTTAATATTATTATTAATTGAAATTATTGAATTATTCGAATTTTAAATATTAAATGTAAGCAAAATTATTAAAAATTTCATAAAAAGATTTCCTTTTTTAACCTTCTTGTGGTGGAAACATCTCAAAATGGGTGTTATTACGTTTTAAAAATAAAACTTTGTTCACTAAATCAGGTGCTAAGCGTGTTCTTTTTGCCGAAATATGGTTACCGGCATCCGAAAACAATCGTTTGCTAGGCACTGAAGTCGCTGGAATTGAAAGATATTTCCTTGCAAGTTGCGCTAAGGTAAAAAAACTATCCCTATGATTTAACCACCACATTAAAGGGTCATCCTTGACCCTAATATCCTGTAACTTTACATAACGTGACACTTCATCTTTCTCTTCTGTGTTTGTTTGTGTGAAATTTCCTTCTAAATCGCTAAACAGATTATCATTATCATCATTGTTCTCCTCAAGACTCCTATGTTCAATGTCATCTGGAACACGAAGGTTTATTTTCAGCTCATCGTATAACTTTTTTACCAATTGATTCGCCCTATCTCGTTCACTATTAGTTGACCACTTGAAATGTTTAAATCAGGGATCAAGAAATGTAGCAATCAAAGCAGTATCTGTTGGAATAGCCCATAATTCATCTAATGACAAGTATATTGCAACTCAGACTTTTTCAAGCAAATTTGTTGTATTAACCGGTGGTAAATCTTCCACCTTATTTGTATCTTCCGCAACACTTTCAGTCCGTGTTCGTTTCCTGCTAGATCTCTGTTGAGTTCGTCCCCTTCCTCGACCACGAGCACTCATCCTTTGATGAAATTAGCGGTGCGCATATTGCCATTGTTGACGGGTGCCAGCATCAGGTATATCATCATCGGTTATTTCGTCATCATCATTTTCTTCATATCCTTCACCATAGACGAGATTCAGATAGGTGTCAACTGTTTCATTTTTGTCTGATCTTGGAGCAAATTTTTTTTTAAGTGATTCCATGTATGGGTGAACGAGATTAAGTATTGGATAGTTGGCACCACACAAATGCCTAGTTACAATTTCGATTGGTTCTAACAACTTTACAACTTCTTGCAAAAATCTACAATGTAAATAAATAAAAATGATAATTGATTAATAAATGAAAATATATATATGTTTTTTCTTGTTTAAACTTTAAACCAATAGAACTAATTAAATAATAAAAAAAAACATTACTCCTTTTCTCCAACCGATAAGCACAGACGTTCTAATTTTTCGCCTTCTTTTTGGGAGGCACGATCCGATTTGGAAAGTAATGAAGTTGAAACGAATCTTATTAAATTATGTAATTCCAAGAGACGTTTCCAAGCTAGATAGGTGGAGTTCCACCTCGTTTTTACATCCGTTAAAAGGTCAAGAGGACTTTGGACATCTCCTTCAGCTTGATTGGATTCATTTTGCGCTTTTTGCGCTTTGTGTAAACGTTGAGCTTGCTTAGGAAGTCGGAAAAAAGCCTGCAAACTTTTAACACGACGATGTATGGCTTTACATTGCTTCAATCCTTCTTGAACTGATAATTGTAACGTGTGCACGGCACAAGGTTGACGTTCTACACTGCTAATATGATTTGTATTTAACAATCGTATTCACTTGACCATATTAGCTCCATTGTCCGTGGCAATAGTAAAAACCATTGTCTTAAGTCGCCAAACACCAATTATTCTAAATAACTCTTCGCTAATCACCTCTCCTGTATGTGGGTATGGAAGATGATCACAAGAAAGAAGGGCTTCTCGAAACTCAAAATCGGAGGTCAGCCAAGTTGCCGTAACGCCTAAGTAGCCATAACGAGATTTTGCTGTCCATAGATCAGTAGTAAGATGGATATTCATTACACTACTACGAAGTAAGGCGCTAAGCTGATTGTAGCTCCATTCATATGCTTCGTGGATTAGTCCCTTGGCGGTTTTATCACATGGGATACGAAATCCTGGCTCGCATGCGTAAATAAATTCACGAAAAAATCAGTTTTGTAAAATGTAAAGAGGCAAAACAAAATGAATAATAAATTGAATTAATTTTCTTGCTAATAACTCTTGTCTTTTGGCTGGACATGGTTTTGATGAGCTATAATAATCGGTAACTTGTGTTTGATGACTTTGATCCCATTTTGGCTAATAAGTAAATCAATTAAGTGAATTAGTTAATAGTTACGTTATAAAATACAAAATAAAATAAAAATTTCGATCATAGTCATCATACCTCTCTATATTCATCTAAATAATTGGTAAAATTATCCTTGGTTATGCCATGTTTGTCTCGTAAGTGGGCTATCATACTTGATGTGTTTCCACCTTTACGAGTATATGCATAGGGCTTCCTATAAGATCCAGAAAGGTCGTATTCACATATTTTACAATACACAAGGTCAGAATCATTTTCATCTATATGAAAAAAAAAAGAGGTGTGACTTTTGTTACTACGATCAGATACAATGTTAGCTTTTCACTTTTTTCGTGTTTTAGATGATTGTGTGGAGTGTGTGGTGTGAGAATCTTCGTCAGAGTCTGCATCTGAAGGATAAAACATGGAAGCTGACATTGTCACATTGGTTATTTAGTTTTTTTTTTAAGAGAAATGATTAGAGAAGAACTGATGAGAAGATTATCGATATTTAGTTATTTAAATGAGATCTGTACTACATAGTACAAATCTATTATAATAAACCGGATAAATCGGTTATATTAAAACTGGTTTATCATTTTTAATAAATTTCCAACCCGGTTATAAATCTGAAACGATTAAATCCGATTATAAATCTGATATCAATATCTGGTTCCAACCTCTAATTATTAACACAAATTAAACACAAATTAAACGCAAATTTCAGCCACGATTTATTATGTCACACCTGTGTTGTTAAGAATTAATAACCATTTTATTTATTAAAACAATATTATTATGGTAAAAAAAATGCTATTACGTGTGATATATATAAAAAATAATATTTATTTCCTATGCAACCCATAATTCTCTAATAAACTATTTACATACTGACCTTCCTCCTCTGTGTTATAAAAGTCAATAGAAAGTATATCATCGTCAGCTATGCCATTGTTGGCCGTACCATTGTTGGCCACACCATCGTTAACCGCACCATCATTAAGCCTATCATCATTAGTCGCATTATCGTCAGCCGCACCTGCTCTATCGTCAGCTGCTCTATCACCACCATCATTTACATCATTACCATCATGAGAATCGTTGTCTGAATGTGTAAATTTATCCCTATTTTTCAACCTTTGCTAAAAATCAATAAATAAATAAATAAACTGTAATTCAAATGATTCACATTTTGCAAATTGTAAATTAAAAACTTACTAAGTTGTTGATTATCTTCAACTTCATTATACTTTCGCTCATTTAAATGTTTTGATTATTAGGATTTAAATACGTTTCACATATACTAATCGCATACGCTATTTGTGTTTTTGAGGGATTTTTATTTTCTTTTCGCAACTTATCAATTATCAGCGACATATATGTCATAAGTTGTCCATCTTTAACCTTTTTAAATAGGTTGTTGTAACATCTTTTCACCTCTGCCTTACTCTTCCATTTCTGAATCTTTGACGGACTAGCCTGAGTGTTAATAGACGGTAATTTATGCCCAGTCACTTCGAAAACAGAATACATAACGTCTTTGACTCTAGACGTGAACGCCCCTCGTATGCTTCTATGTTGTTGTACTAACTATTAAAAAAAAATGTTAATATGAAATTTAATAAAATTCATAATTGCTTTAACTTACAGTCGGGACAATTTTTTTCGAACAAAATAATCCATTGATTTTTTTTGAACTGGCGTATAAATTCCGGATTTTCATCTTTTAAATATTTTTCGATAGCAAGTTTGTACTCGTCTTGTGAAGGATAAACAAAATTTTCAAATAAAATTTTCGACACCTTTTTAATGAGCTCCTAATCAAACGAGGTTAGCATTTCAGGTTTACATTAAATAATATTAATCTTTATTACCTTTACATACTCCAGATCTATTGTATTATTATTATTTTTGTTATTATCATTGAGCTTTTTTTCTATGTCCGAGAGACGGGTTTCAAGATTTTTTTGTCTGGTATAAGAACTTCAAGCTTAGAAATTATCTGCGAATTGGTTCTTAATAGTTTTTCTATTGTTTTTTATTAACTTTAATAATAAAATATAATTTAACTATATTTTATATAATTTCTTATAAAGAATATGATACATATCATGTCATACATACCTTCAATGTTATCGTCTGATAATCTTATTCGTTTTTCAGTTTCACTACTCTTCTCAGTATTACGTCTTGAGATTCTTTCATTATCATCAATATTTCATTTTTCGCCACGTTTTGTAGCCATCGGGATAATATGTGAAGGAAGAGATATAAACTAAACTCGAAAAGAAGAAAGAGATATTACTAGAAATTTGAAGAGGAACTAGAAATACGAAAGGAGAATATATGAGAAAAAGGGGAAAGACATGGACCAGAAATTTGAAAATGAGGAACTAAAAATACGAAAAAGGGGGAATACATAAACCAGAGGTTCAGAAAAAGGAGGAAAACTGTCATAACGTCATTTTTGCTATTCTATACTAAAAAAGAAAAAAAACTTGTGAAATATTGCAAAAAATGGATGAACTAATGCGAAATATTACGAAAAATGAATGAACTAATGCAAAAATTTTGCATCATGATATTACGAAAAAAAAATTGTAACACTTTCATAAGAGAATTTTTAAAAAAACTTTCGTAAAAGCATATAGTACAATCGAAGTATTAATCAATACCCATTTATAAAAAAATAACATGTTACACATATTGGAGCTTTTATGCATGGCAAAAAAAAAGTTGCAGCCAGTAAACTGTTAAAGCCAATTGGCTGATCAGATTGATAGCGCTTATAACTGATTATCGCATAAATTTGTGCTGGTTATCAGTCCAAATTAGTGATGAAATTCAGATGATTAGCCAATTGAATAAGCCGTATTAGCCACCTGGATTCTTACAGCCCATTACAGCTGATTTCATAATATACGAGGCACTTAGCAAATTTTAAAGAACTCAGAAATATTCAGTATAGCTCAAAATAAGATAAAATTATAACATTCTCGAAATAGTGTAATGCGTAAATTTGTGGATGATTAGCCGATTGAATAAGCCGTATTAGACACCTGGATTCTTACAGCCCGTTAATGCGTAAATTTGTGGATGATTAGCCAATTGAATAAGCCGTATTAGCCACCTGGATTCTTACAGCCATTTGTTAATGCCTACTCAAAATTTTGTTAGCATACGAAATCTCATATAAATTGAATAGTGAATTGATGCTTTCATCAAATTTGACGCATTAATTAGTAACATGAGTTTCAAAAGGACCGGGAAAACTATATATAAAGGTCACTGGAAAAAAATCAGAAAATCATATAAATGCGAACCATCTTATGATTGGTCAATTGGCTATTTATTCACATGTTTTCGCTCTAAAAACAGAAAAAGGAAAGATCTTCACTCAAATTTTCTTATTCTTGCGAACCAACACGTGACTTTTATTAATTATTTTTACGGTGACCTTTTTGAAAATTAAATATGGGTTCGAACCAAGAAAACCGGTGACCTTTATTAGTAGTTTTCCCGGTCCTGTTTCAAATGCCTCCTTTGTATGCGAATATTCAGTTAACGCTTTGCATATACTCAACACGCCCAGAAATGCTTAAAAAATGTAGAAGTAGAAGATAATGATGACGACGATAGTGAAAAATATAACAGTGAAATAGATACAAGAAGTAATCAAAGTAGTGAATATGAAAATGATAAAGTTGAGGTAATTATGTATTCCAGATTATTCTTTTTGGAGCTTTTAAGAAAAAGCTCAGATATACTAACTCATTTAGCTTATAATTTTAGATGGATGATGATAATGATGCACAAAACATGTCTTTTGATAGTATTGGAAGTGCAATATCAGTGATGAGCCTTGAAGATAACTTTGAAAATATATTAGATTCTTCTGAAGAGACTGAAATTTTTGAAGAATCTGAAAATCCTAATTCCAAAACTTGCACAAAATTTCCTAATGATGCTTATAAAGATCTAATGTTATTAGTAACGAAATACAAAATAAACAATAAAGGTGGTAATGAAATAATATGATTTTTTAATAAACATTCAAATCTTACAGAATCACCATTACCAAAAAATATTGAACAGGGACGAGCATTTATGAATAACATGAAGTTTTCTAATTTAGAATTTAGTAAAGTTCTCATAACAAAACATAAGGATAAAGATTATTTTTTTTATTATTATCAAAATTTAATACAGTGCATCAAAAATATTTTAGCTATTCCTGACATAATGCAAAATTTTGCGCTATCTTACGAAAACTTTGAGGTAAATGCCAAATATTATTTAATTCAATAATTTAAATAATATTTATTTTAATTTATTTATATTATTTTATAGTATAATGGAGAAAGTATTTACGGTGAGCAAAATACTGGAAAATGGTGGAAGACTACGCAAGAATCCTTACCTACTAGTTCCAAATTATTATCAATTATTTTATATTCAAATGCAACAACCACAGATACATTAGGAAAAAGTCAATTGCATCCAATATATATTACATTAGGCAATATCCCAATATGACGTTGTAATAAACAGGATGCAAAGCAACTTTTGGGATATTTACCAATTTTAGAAGCTGCAAATAAAAATCTGGTTCGTGATACCTTTCATAAATCTTTATGTCATTTACTAGAACTGATTATTTTATTAAAAGATGGTATAGACTTTTTTATAAATAATGAAAATACCTGGTTTTATCCTAAAGTTTCAACTATTATTGCAGATTGGCCAGAAGCCACAAGTTTTTGTTTAGTTTATAAATCCTCCAATTCAAGCCTTCCATGTCACTCCTGTTTAATTAAAAAGGACAATCTTGCAAATATAGACTTATCGGTTAATGATGTAATACTAAGAACTCATGATGAAATGCGTAAATATTTTGAAAATGATACACAAAAATCTGTTTGCATAGAATCTGTATATAATTTTTTTTGGGATTTGCCATAAGTATGCAAAAGTAGAAATAATTATAATAACATATATATATATTAATTATAAATATTTATATTATCAAGAAATATAAATATTTACTTGACTACTGTTCCTGACAGAATGCATTATTTAGATTTGGGTTTATTTTGTTATCAAATTATCTTCACGTACAATATCTTAAAATTGCAACATGTTAATGGTAATAAATTAGTTGAAGAAGTAGATCGCTGTTTAGCAGCAATTCCACGTTTTTCCGCCATTAAAATTTTTTCCAATGAACTGCAGTCAATTGCAAGATTAACTGCTAATGAATATCGAAGTTTAATGAAAGTCATGATATTTGTTATTGATAATTTATATAATGAAAATAATAACGAAGTAGATAATTTTGTAAATAATGATGATCTTGCAAAATTGTATGAATATTGGAATGAAATGTATATTTTAAGTAGATATGAAGAATTTAGTGAAAGTGACTTAGAGAAATTTAATGTATGTATTAAAATTTTAGTAAAATTAAAAATTTAAATTAAATAAATTAAATTAACATTTAAATTTTAGGATGCAATACATAGATGGGTCCGGATGTTTGTCAAGGCTTTTAAATTTGTTTCTCCTTCCAATTTGAAGTTGCCTAAATTGCATTCATGAGTTTATCACATTATTAACTCAATACGATCTTATGGCGCAATAAATGGCTATACCACAGAAACTTACGAAAGTCTTCATAAATATTTTGTTAAAATACCCTACCGAATTAGCAATAAAAAAGATGTCGAACCTCAGCTTTTACGAACTGTAAGTATTTGGAAATTTATTTATTGTATATATTTATTATATAACTTAAGATGGAAATTAAATTAATAGATAAAACGTCAAGCAATATCTATTAGAATGTCTCAATATTCAGTGAATCTGGCAAACCGCAAAAACACCTCGCACTTGTAAATTTTCTGCAAGACTCTTTGAATTCTCTTTACAAGATGCAAATACATTTTTTAATGAAAAAAAGATTCCGTAAACAATAAAATGCAGACCGGTTTTGCTAGATTTATAGGTTGTCTGGATTCATATCTAGATTTACTTGATGGTTTTACAATTATTGGTGAAACCCAAATAAACATATATGGATCAGTAACACTGGAAAATGGTACCATAATACGTGCCACAAACAGGTATCATAATAAAGTATGGTTTAGCGATATAGCTATTTCAATGGATTCTGAAGAATCAAATGATTATATATTAAACAAAGGACTTTGTTATGGACAGGTATTTTCCAATTTATGTAATAATTTATTATAAAAGTATTAATAAATATTTATTATTTATAGGCCTTATTGTTAGCAGAAGTATTAACAGATCCACCGCTAAATCTCGCATTAATTCAATGGTACGATTTTAAATCTAAAAGGAACCCATATTTATATGGATGTCCTCACTTAAAATTGATAGAATTATATAACTTTGTAGCTATAGAGTCTATACATGGTGTCGTTCACATAGTACCCCGATTTGATAAACAAAATGAATATTTCGTAAATAAATATATTTTTTAGTCACTTGATATAGGAGTTTTGATTTATTTTAATAAAATTATATCCTTAAAAGAATTTATGGTCAAGTTTTCCATATCATAAATAAAATGCAGATTTATTTATTTAATTATTAATAACGCGAGTATGACATAAATAAATCGTGACTGAAATTTGTGTTCAATTTGTGTTCAATTTGTATTGATAATTCTGGTAAAAAATTATTAATTTTGGCCAAATTTCGTTAAATTTGATAAATTTGTGTTGAATTTGTGTTGAATTTGTGTTGCGTAATTTTTTATTTATCACAAGGGGATGATATTTAGTAATTGCATGTAAGGATGGTGCTGCAAATATGTAATTGTGGAATAATTGCGATTTACGGTATTACAGAACATTGCAGATTTTTAAATCTAAAATCCACAGATCCACAAATCCGCAATTATTCACAATCCCGCAAATATTCTGCAAATCCGCAAATATCCAAAGTACCGCAATTCAATTGCAGAATATTTGTGGAATTGCGGAATAGTTGCAGATTTGCGGAATGTTTGCAAAAAAAACTAATTTTTTTTTAATGAAATATAATTTTTTAATTTAACTACTAAAAAATATATTTTCTCTTATTATTAATCATAAAAAAAATCATTTTTCATTAACAAAATTTAAAAAAAATGATTTTATTTTTTTAGAAAAAAATGGATCGGTAATTTGGAAAAACTGCCAGAAACAGCATTTTCTTTTATTATAACTGCAAAAAAAATGCTGGAACTAATAGTTCTGGCAATTTTAATAAAAAAAATAAAATAAATGCCAGAAATAATAGTTCCAGCGTTTTTATAAAAATTAGAAAAAAAAATGCCAAAATCAATAGTTCCAGTATCTTTATATAAAATAAAAAATTTATAAAAATGTCAAGACTCATAGTTCTGGCATTTTTATATAAAAAAAAATTTTAAAAAAATGCCAGAATCTATTGTCCCGGCATTTTTATATAAAAAATAATTTAAAAAAATGCCAGAACCCATAGTTCTGGCGTTTTTACATAAAAAAAATTAAAAAAATGTTGGAACTATAGTTCCGGCGTTTTTATGTAAAAAAAAATCAAAAGAAAACGCTGGAACTATAGTTCCGGCATTTTTATATAAAAAAATTAAAGAAAATGCCGGAAATGGTTCTGGTGTTTTTATGTAAAAAAAATTAAAAGAAAACGCCAGAACTATAGTACTGGCATTTTTATGTAAAAAAAATCAAAAGAAAACGCCAGAACCATAGTTCTGGTGTTTTTATGTGAAAAAAATTAAAAGAAAATGCCAGAACCATAGTTCCGGTTAAGGTTGCTTGCCGAAACCTTCTTAATAACTGCCGAAACCTATACAGAAAATGCCGAAACTATATTAAATCATATTAAAAATCCTGCCAAAACTTTGCCAAAATGCCGAAACCCCCATTTGCCGAAACTGCCGAAATCCTGCTGAAACTATAGTAAACATATAGTAAAATCTTGCCGAAATTTATCTCAGGATTTTGGAGAGGTTTTGGCAAGCAACCTTAGTTCCGGTATTTTTATGTAAAAAAAATTAAAAGAAAACGCCAGAACCATAGTTTTGGCATTTTTATGTAAAAAAAATCAAAAGAAAACGCCAGAACCATAGTTCCAGCATTTTTATGTAAAAAAAATCAAAAGAAAATGCCAGAACCATAGTACCAGCGTTTTTATGTGAAAAAAATCAAAAGAAAATGCCAGAACTATAGTACTGGCATTTTTATGTGAAAAAAATCAAAAGAAAATGCCGGAACCATAGTACCAGCGTTTTTATGTAAAAAAAATCAAAAGAAAATGCCAGAACTTATAGTTCTGGCATTTTTATGTAAAAAAATCAAAAGAAAATGCCAGAACCATAATACTGGCATTTTTATGTAAAAAAAATCAAAGAAAACGCTAGAACTCATAGTTCTGGCATTTTTATGTAAAAAAAATCAAAAGAAAATGCCGGAATCCATAGTTCTGGCATTTTTATGTAAAAAAAAATTAAAAGAAAATGCCGGAACCCATAGTTCCGGCATTTTTATAAATATACAAAATTGATAGTTATGGGTACTAGCAATTAGAATTGCAGAATTGTGGGCTACTAACCGCAATTCAACTCCAAAATCTGCAATATTGCGGAATTTGAAAATCATTTGCGAACCCATTCTTAATTGCATGTATGATGTACAAGATTTTTTTTATGATTTTTTTAAGAAATGTACGCAAAATATTTAATCAGAATATAATTGTTTTATTTTTAAATATGATATATTGATGATTTTGTTTTTTAAAAAAAAAATTGATTTTTTTAAAATTCAATAGAATGTGCTAATAATAAATTGTTTTATTTTTAAATATGATATATTGATATTTATATTTAAAACAATTAAACATATACATGATTTTCAATTATTTTTAATTGAAATCAAACTAAGATTTTTTTTATTTTTTGATTTAATCATATTTATATTTAAATAATCCATACACTGGTCGAAATCAAAACTTTTGACCGTTAAAAGCTTTCGGCATAATTTTTGCCGATTGGTCATGTGATTCGTCACATTTTTTGACCAATGGCAAAAATCGGTAAAATCAATCACAAATCAACTAATACTGATTGTTAAACGAAAACTCATTCAGTCTTTTGGTGAAAAATCAACCTATACCGATTATTATACGAAAAATTGCTCTTTTAAGATCATTCAGTAAAATTATACTGATTGGTCATATAAATCAACACAATTTTGCCAAATTTGCCAAACGGTAAAAATCAATAACTAATTGGCAATAATTCAGCAAATCAGTTGGTAAATGACTGAAAAAATCAGATGATCCAGATCAACATTTTACGGGTCTTTTTAAAATAAACACCGGTCAAATGATGACAAATAGGGGACCAATAAGATGGAAATCAGGTTACCTGATTTCCATCTTATTGGTCCCCTATTTTTTTTGTTTATTATCAATCGGGAGAATCCTGATTGCTACCAAAAAATGGCGCAATAAGAGTACATTAGAGTTCCAATCGGGATATTCAAATAGAGTACAATCAGATATTTAAATAGAGTACAATCGGGTTACAATAGGCCATTTACTATTTGACATATCAGTATACCGATTGTTAACTTTTCAACCAATAAAAAATCTTCCGATTGCCATACATTTTTATTTTAAATTTACGGTTTTATTAATTATATTTTGGTTAGTTTACTAAATACGATTATATATTAATTATTAAAATTATAAAAATCGGTTTTACAGAAATAAATTTATTGCTAAATTATTATTATATAATTGAATCATCCCACCGATTTACTACTATTACTACTATCGTATTCTTCTGAAACAAGACTTACACTTCTCTTTTTCCTTTTTTTCCTATTGTCCACTTCTTCATCCTGCTCTTTTTCCTGATCTTCGTTTCTTTCTCCGCCGGTTGCATCATCATTTTCCTGGCTTTTATTGTCATTTTCCTGGCTTTTATTGTCATTTTCCTGGCTTTTATTGTCATTTTCCTGGCTTTTATTGTCATTTTCCTGGCTTTTATTGTCATCTTCCTGGCTTTTATCATCGTCTTCCTGGCTTTTATATTATCATCGTCTTCTTGGATTTTATCATCGTCTTCTTGGATTTTATCGTCGTCTTCCTGGCTTTTATCGTTCTCTACCTCTTCGCGATTAGCACTATATTTTTCCACTAAATGTTTCAACGATCCTTTGTAACTGATTTTTGCCCATTTGGGGGCATTAACGGGTGCACTGTTCTCATTAGGAGCGTATTCGGTATCATACATCTGTTTTCTTACACGTCGAGCATTTGATGCCGCATTATTGACGTAATTTCGTAAAAAAGAGTGTAGCTATAAAAAAAAAAAAAGAATAAAAATACGAATTATTATGCACCGATTGGTAAAAATTATTCGAATATTTACGGNAAAAAGAGTGTAGCTATAAAAAAAAAAAAAGAATAAAAATACGAATTATTATGCACCGATTGGTAAAAATTATTCGAATATTTACGGTAGCTGATCTCCATTTGAGATCCCGTATGATGATCTTTCGCTTATTAGGGTTATCGCTATCGGTCTCCGATACCTCCAGACTGTGGTATCAATTATCAGTCTGAAGAGGCTGGAGCTCGTTGGTGTGGAACTTATTTATCAATTGATCTTTAATTTTTTTAACTTGTCGATAGTTTTATTTTGTCTTTCCTGCTTCTAAATAATTAATAGAAAATTATAAGATAAGGTAATATAAAAACAACGATTTAATATTTACATCACTTCGTCTTGAATTTGCATGCTTTCTTCTTTTTTCGAGATCTTTCCAATTGGCATCCTTCTCGCTATTGAGTAGTAGCTCTTTCTGGTGATGATGTCTCTCATGCACGATATACTTAATCACACCGTCGGATACAGAGAATATATTCTTATTGATCATTTTTTGTACTACCAGAATTATGTTATTTTGGACTAACTTCCGCTGACTATCAAAAGTTTTCCTAGTATTTAATGCTTTGTCTTCCAGAAGTCAGTCCATAATTCCGGCAATTTCATTCTAATCGTAAGAATATCAACTGATTAGCAAACAATCAGGAAAATTAAACTGAACTAAAAAAAAAAATAGTTACCCTTAAAGCAGTTCTTAGATCCCGATCCATTTCCTCGTAATAAAGAAACGACGAATTTGAGGATGAAAATGAGGAGGATGGGGATGGGAATGGAGATGGAGATGGGGATGAGGATGAGGATAACGATGATGATGACGATGAGGATGGAGGCGGGGCACTTTTTGATGATCTGGCAACTCCATATTCTTTTGATGATCCAACAACTCCATATTCTTTTGATGATCCGACAATTCCATAAGCTTGGATATATCAGTTCTTTTTTGGTGATCGGGATACGTATTGGCACTTTTCTGGAGAATCTGAGGTTTCTACTCCCGACCAGTCAATAATTATATCTTTCGGATTTGCTGCTTTTTGTTTACCTTTCGTTATTTTCTTGATCAACTGACTCAATTCTTCAACCTGCTCCTGGAACGCTAAAAAAGAAAAATTGTGATAAAATTGATAAAATTTGATAATCTTATTATAATATACTTATAATATATACATTAATAACATACCGGTTTGATCATTATCGCTCTCATCCTGTTGAATCAGATCATCGTCGTTATCGTCAACTAAATCAATTACACTGGACTTTTGGCCTTTTTGGCCTTTCATTAGTTCTGATTGACGTCTTTTTGTTCGTTTTTCTTTATCGAGTACTTTAAATTCATAATCATTAGGTGATATAATAAATTCGGGCATGATTACATAAGTATATTGAAATATACCAATATTTCTTTCTTCGTCTTCAACAAAGTCGATTAAAGTGGGCTTTTGTTTTTTCGTTGGTTTAATATTAGGTATTGATCGCTAATAAATTGAGAAATTAAAGAATCTGATGAAAATCAAATAAATTAAATTACCATTGTTTGTCCATTTATTTCTTTAAAACCGTTTTATTGGTCTTTCACACTTTAGCTTCAGGTTTTTCGCTATCGGAGGATTCTATATCTGAGTGGTACCATTTTCCAGATTTTTCTTCTTTTAATGTTTTTTATGTTTTTTATGTTTTTAGTCATATTTAATTATAATATTTCAGTAAGAATATGTTTCAGTAAATTTACGGATAAAAAAATATAGGGTTATGTTACAAAAATCGGTAACAAGCGAGAAGAAAAAGTTGAGTCTAAATTAGCTCATATATATATTCCCGATAGTTTATTTTAGCTTAAATAGACTGATTTAATTAACTGTTACTATTATTATATTTAAAAAAAAAAATAAACTGATTTAATTAACCGTTGCAATTAATATTAAAAATAGTAGCGATAGTGATTTTCTCACAATTTCTCCAATTTATACGTTCATACGATTAATTGATACATAAAATTCATTTGTTCAATCATGATTGATATTATTATTTTTTAATTAATTGCAATAAGATAACTGATTGATATATTATTTTTAAGAATTTATTTAATCAACTAAATGAAATAAGCTAACTGATTGATATGGAAATTTTAAGTATTTATTTAATCAACTAAATGAAATAAATTAATTGATTGATATGGAAATTTTAAGAATTTATTTAATCAACTAAATGAAATAAGTTAACTGATTGAGAACTAATTACGATGAATTTTATAAACAAACTTCAAAGTTATTAAATCAGGTTATTTAAATTTAAAATAAAATTGGGTTGGTAAATATTTATATCAAACCAAATATGCCAAGACCAAGAAAATATCGTGTTAATAGAGATCGTTCGAAAGTTACTAAAAG